CGACTTTCTTTGTTTATTTCAAGCATCTCATATTGACACAAAATGTCTCCCAAGTGTCCCCTACCTATGAAATCTAACTCATATAGGATAGAAGAATCATTTGAAGTGTGAGATCAGGGATTTGTGTGAGATCAAGGATTCGGGGACATCCCAGCAGGCAGTATAAAGCCTCTAGTTTGACCAGGTTTAATATTCTAGGAACTTAGTCCTCTACCCTGGTCCACCTAGTAGTGCTTTCTTCAACATACCCTCCAGGTCTAGATTCATGTTTGACCACTCACATCTCTGGCACTGTCCTAACACAATACCTCACTGGCTTTGCAAAGCCCTACATGCCCATCAGGTGTTTCCCAGGCTGTTATAGTTACTCTTATTAGATTTGTTGACCTGGTTTTGAGCTCCATTGTTCCAAATTTTATGGACTGAAAAACTGTAGTCCAAAAAGGGTTTGAAAATAAAACTGCTAATATCATAATGCCATTATGTGAATCTATGGTGCTACCACACTTTCAATACTGTATACAGTTCAGGTTACCACACATCAAAAAGAATAATCTTTGCCTCTTGTGCTGGATAAAAAATGCCTCCTCCAGTCTTCTATTCACCCAGAAGGAACTCAGTGGATGGGGTGGAGCCAGCCGCTATATTGGGAAAGTTTCAGAAAAAGGCAACAAAAATGGTCAAGGAGCAAGTTGCCTGTAAAGAAGAGTTTCACGATTTGGATACTTTTTAGCTTTAAAAGGTGAGGAGGAAGAGGAGACATGATATAGTTGTATAAGTTGGTGCATGGTGTCAACAAAGTGGACAGAAGCTTTTCTCTCTCCCCCATAATTCTAGAACTCCTGGAAGATTCAGGACAGACAAATGGAAGTACTTATTCACACAGTATATAGTTGAACTCTGGAATTCACTGCCACAAGATGTAATAGTGCTAACTTGGATGGGTTCAAAAGAGGTTCACAAAAAACCATGGAGATCTATGACCACTAACTATGATAGCTGTCTTACCTCTAGTATCAGATGTGATATGCCTCTGAATACTAGTAGTTGAACACAAGTGGTGAAAGTGCTATTGTGGTGAAAGTCCTAGCTGTTAACTTCCATAGGCATCTGGTTGGCCACTGTGAGAAGAGAATTCTGGGCTAGATGAGTCAGATCCTGCAGGGCTCTTCTTTTGTTCTTAAGCTTTTTGTATAGCTTCAGAAATGTGCAGGGCGCTGTTGACAGGCAGGCTAAAGTAGATGTATCAAAAAGGAGCAGAGTCAACAGAGAACCTATCTCTAATGGTATCTAGTCCTGATCTCTGAAAATAACAACAGTCAATGCATGTACTAGAGGTTAGCCAAAGAACTATATGTGAGTTTGACCTTTTTGGCTTGTTCTCATACGTTCATGCAACCAGGTGGCCTTTGAGAACCAAGTGTGCTGGACTAGGACCTGGGAGACCAAGGTTCACTCGGCCATGAAGGCCATTTGTGACTTTGGACCACTTACTGTCTCAGCATAATCTACCTCAAAAGGTTGTTGTAAAGATAAAAATGAGAGGGGAGAAGTATGTATACCACCAATCTAGTCTAGCAATTAGTTGTGTATGGGAAGTCCACAAGCACAATATGAGAGTGAAATCCCTCTCCCACTGTTATTCCTCAATGACTTGTATTTAGAAGCATACTCCCTTGGCCATCCAGCATGCCTTGTGGCTTTGATAGCCTTATCCTCCATGAATCTGTAAAATCCTCTTTGAAGGCTATTAAATCTCTGGGGACCACTGGAGGTGCTATTTAAGTTAAACATGTATGCACTCAGTCTGTTTAAATACAATGTGTGAAAATTGTGTTGAAAATAAAGAAACCAAGAAAGTGGATTGGTCTAAATGACTCACTTGGATTTTATGTGATGGTATGATTAAAAAAAAGTTGAAATACATATTTTTGGTGTCATGGCATTATCAGTACTGATCTTAGTATTCTTGTGTTGGCTTACACTTTTGAACACATCAGCCTTACATGAGCTGTATGTCAAAACAGGCTCACTCTGTAGCTTATGCAGCATATCTCAGCTAATTTTTCACTTAACAGCAGATCATTTGACAATAATTAGTTTGAAATGCCATACGGCAATATATCGAGCATTAAAACTGTTCATAATGCACCACCAGTGTTCATAATACTTATGGTGTCATGTTCTAGATTCACAAGTGTATAGTCTAAAGATAAGCAAGATGGCAAGGGAACAAGGAGAAGGAAAAATAAAGAACTGGTGAAAGTTGCCTCATCCCTTCTCCCCTCCAGTCCCTGCAGAACAAGGCATGGGCTCCACATCCAGAGCAGTCAAGGACAGGTTCTGGATCATCCACTTTGCCTATTGTGCCACTAACTCTGTCTCCATGGTTGTCTCTCAGGAGCCGGGATCAGATGTAGGTCAGCAATTAAAAATATGGTGTTAGTGAAGTAAACTCTTTATGCAAAACACAGCAGGCCTAGTGATCCCAGCAATTCTTTCCAATAGGTCTTGCCCCCAATGAGACAGTTGCAAGGATGAAAGGTGCCACTTTTCCACCACTCTCTAAGCCTTCTTCTCTCCAGGGTCTTTCCCAAGCAGTTGCAAACTGCGTCTGTGCACAACCAGTATCTGCTCTGCTCTTTTCATTTCTCTGCATGCTAGGAGACCAGGAGGGCAGGGAGCTGGTCGCAACAGGAAAGTGAGACTCCCTAGATTCTTTAGCAGCTTGTTTCAATTCTGCCTCTTAGCCAATGTCCAATTAAGCCTCAGAGACTGTACTGCTTTCTGCCACAGCCTCTTCCTGCTCACTAAACCCTATTACATCTTCTGCTTCCGACATCTCCTCCTTCCAGTTTGCTTCTTCTCCCTGTGACCACTCATTGTTGCCCCACCACCACTCCCTTGACTCTGTGTCTTCTTCTCCTGGGGGTTCCCTTTGGGGTTCTCCAGCTGGTGCCTCCCGCCACTCCCTCTGCATCCAGCTAGTCTATGACATTGTCAGAAACCATGTCTAGCACTGCCTTTCAAAGGAAAGGAGGTTTCTCACCTGCCCTACCTGCTTCAAAGGAGGCAGTAATGCCACCTCCATCACTCAGCTCACAGAGGTGCTAACACAGGTGTGAACAAACAGTAAAGGCTCAGCCTTCCTGGCATAGTGCAATGTTGCTTGCCCAGTCTCACCATCCTAAGTTAATTGGTTACTCTATTTTCTATACACACCTCTGTCCAGGCAATAGAGAGCCTTGGGACTCATCTACACAGGTCAATTTATAATGTTATAAATGCATTATAAAAATGTGACACCAGATGGTGCTGTAGAGCAGCAATCTGAAGTAAATTAAAATTTCCGTTGGGAGCTGTATTTTTTAAATAGTTTTTTTCCATAGCGTTTTTTATATCTGTGTAGATCCAGCCTTGGAGGGCTGCATTCAGTCTCTGAGCTTGAGGTTCTCCACCCCTGCTGAAACGTCTTAGTGGAACGTTGCCAGTCTACACTAAACAAGCTTGTACAGTTGTGTTTTATCATCAAAAATATTTGCCACAAATAAGTCTAAAAACACAGGATAATTAAACATTGGAATGCAATGGCATAACAGAGACATATTATAGATGCTTCATAAAATATTAGAGAACAAAGGATGGCAATTTCAATAAATGGAATTTTAATATACTAAAGGTACAATATTAATATATTAAAAATACATTGTTTTTCTTGTTCCCTGTAAATCATATAAAGTTTTATACAACTGACAGTTGTCCAAATTATTGGTGCTCATATCATTGTAAAAATTATCTTTCCAAATTAATTTATTAGTAATTCAGGGGTTAGATACAGGTCCAATATATCTGCAGAGTCTTCAGAAAAACTAAGAGAGCTTGTAATTGTTGGCCATTTCTGAAGCTATTAGGGTGCTTAAATTGATGCCCTCTTAGCTTTCCTTACACTAATGACTTACTAATATGGTAATGTTTATTACAATAGCATTTCCATCTGTGAATCTTTAAAGCCTTTGCAAACATGAGTGCATTTACTACAGCACAACAAAATCTGTAGAGTTATTCCCCAATGAGCACTTCTGAGCTGGTTTTCCAGAACCAGAAAAAACAGCATCTGCGTTGCACTCCAGAAAAGACTGTGTTTCAAGTGAAGTGGTCCCTTTGTAGTGTCCTAATCCAGTTATGCTAAAATTTACTATCATTAACAATCTGTCAGACCTGGCTTTGTGAAGGTGGGGACAGTCGGGTTAGGGTGTATCCAGCAGTGTGTATCCAACTAGAATGAATTCTAATTGCTCAAAGCAATAAGCAAGCCTGACCCTTGCTTTTATATGGATGTTTGTTGTTGTTGTTTAGTCGTTTAGTCATGTCCGACTCTTCGTGACCCCATGGACCAGAGCATGCCAGGCACTCCTGTCTTCCACTGCCTCCCACAGTTTGGTCAAACTCATGCTCGTAGCTTCAAGAACACTGTCCAACCATAAGAAAGCTATTAGCTCGTTCATTCTGGCCTCTTGCTTCAAGCAGTCTTCCATGGATGGGTGTGGTTGATCTTCCTATTACTTTGGACCTGTAGTTCTTACCTTTGTTCAGAGCTGAATGGCAAAATACAAGCTGAAGTATTGCTTAATATCCTTCCAATAGCACCTCCTACTAGACTTGTAATCCTGTTGCCGTGCAATAATACTTTATATAGTAATGCAAGTGCACAAATCCTTACACTCAGGGGTTTTAATTTTGAGATTAGGTTCCACTGTTAAAGCTATGTAAGCATAATGATGACGTCAAGGAAGCACCATCGGTGAACTCCAATAAGGCTACAATAACTACTGATGTAATATGTTAGTCATTTTCTTGATCAGATAGCAAATGTGAAAGAAAGATCAAAATAATTTGTATATTTGTATATTTATTAAATGAAGCATTTTCCTGCATACCCTTGTCTTCAGTAGATTATTCAGCATTCACTTCTTGCTACAGTGTTGTCTTTCTCATTGCAGGCCTCCAGGTGGTTTTAAATTCCATTATCAAGGCCATGGTCCCTTTGCTGCACATTGCCCTGCTGGTGCTGTTTGTCATAATTATCTATGCTATCATTGGATTGGAGCTCTTCATGGGAAAGATGCACAAGACTTGTTATGTAACAGAGAGCTTATCAGGTAAGAAATATGCTATGTAATCCCACATTGTGTAACACCTTTTATTATCAGTGGAAAGTGGCTATGATGTGATTGGATTTAACAGTACTTAATATCAGCTTAGTGAATGTGAAAGCTCCAGTGATGATCAAATAACACCTGTTCTGCTTGCCTTGCCTGCCCTGCACTAAGAGCCAAAAGCTCAAAGGATAAGAAAGAAGCTAAGAAAGCTCTATCATGCAATCTCTGTAGATAGTTTTAAATAGAGCAGTGCTATAAACAACATCTCCAACATATTCTTCTAATTCAGGAGCAAATCACCATAAGACTGGAAGGGGCGAATGAGAAGCCATTTGTGCATTTTCTCGGTGCAGTCCCCTGTCAAACAGCATAACGTAATGAAGGGCGCATACAAGGCTCTTCTTCCTTCTTCTGTAGCCTATTAAAGACTGAAAGAGCCATGGGTTCATATAATTAAAGTATGACATTGTTCCATAAGTTGCTCTCATTTCCAGACAAACCAATGTATCTCATGGATTTGTTTGCAAACCACCTTGACAGCTTTTATAAAATCAAAAGGGAGACTAAAATTATCTTAAATAAAATATGTGCCACACTTGATATGTGGTTGTCAGGAGGTGATTGTTGCTAAACATGTGGATCCTGCTTTACCATGTAGCTGAACCATAATGAAGAAACTTGACAAATACAGAAATGACCATTCAGATTGCAGATGTAAAGGAAGCATAACCACTTTTCTCATGGATGCAGCTCCTCCCATATAAATAATTTGCTATGTGGAAATGTCAACATTTAGGAGATGGAAACCTAAATGTGGACTGATCAGTGGCATAGAAAATTAAGGCTCTTGTGAGAAATGATTCAGATGATCCACATATCAAAGGAGGGAGCCACCAGGAATAAACAACTGCTCTGATCAAAAAATTATGGAGCACTGACTCTTAGTCACTGCTACTTATTTTCTTCCACATTCATCTTCCTTTCCTTTCCTTTCCTTTCCTTTCCTTTCCTTTCCTTGAGCAGCACATGTCCTTCTAAGATTAAGCACTAACCTTTGTTTTTTATTTGTTTACTAGCATGGGTTTCCATGGCCAAACAATTCCTATCTAGAAATGTTGTTAGTGGGGAAACCACCTGAAGCCAGTAAAAGTCTCAGTTTGCTGGCCCTCATCCAGCCCATCACTGAGTCCAGGTACCCGTTCAATGACTATACAGCCTCACCTGACTCAGATGACATTGAGGAGTAGAATGTCAGCAGCGTACTGGTGGCACCTCATTCTGAATCCCAAAATGACCTCAGTCAGAAGCTCTATGTAGATGTTAGAAAGCAAATTTAATATTATGTCAAACTGAGTCACAGAGTGACTAATTACTGAGAACGTATGCTCGCAGGCAGCTCAACAACTGTAGTTTCACTTATCCTCCTCTGGGACCCAACAACAGGGATTCAAGGCCCAAATTTCCACCCTCCCTAAATTTTGTGAACCTATCTAGTAATTGCAGTTTGAACCTGATACAGTATCATTATTATCTTAATTCCCAAGCTAAAATCAAGCTGGTATAGTCAAATTCTGAGGTTTTGGCAGGCAGGTAGGCAGACAGGCAGGCAGGCAGGTATGTGTGTGTGTGTAAATAATCCTTTTTGTTGCTCCTGAATGAAACTTTCGTTTAATCAAATCTGATGCCAGCAAAAGTAGCATCACCCTCCTCTCTGCCTCTCCCACACAGCACCCTATTTGGATCAATAATTTATTGTTTAGCCTATCCAATCATTGACTTCATGTTTTAACATTATGCAGCTTTCAGTCTGCATGGAGAGGGGTATTTTCCAGAGCTGAACTGTTGCAGTAGAATTTAGTGTCCCAAGTTCATCACATGCCACAACAAAATGGTTTTGACTTTTGTCATTAGCTCATTGATCTGGATATGAGCTGGCAATGTTAAGAGCAACAACTGTCATATCCTATTATCAGTACAGTTCCCAAATATAAACTGTTGTAAATGTTAATAATGTGTAGTCTGACTCAGTGACTCTAGTTCTAGACAAAGCTTCTTGGTTTGTTTTACTTTCACATACTCTTTCCATTTACAAACTCAAACAAACCATCCCTTGAGTCTTTTCAAGTAGTCATATAAGACAGAGATGGCAAAGCTTTTCAGGCTGAGGACCACACTGCCTGGTGCAACCCCTACAAGGGGCACATGGCAGTGATGAGTGTGGCCAAGAAAATGGGTGTGAACCCCCCTCAGTCTCCCACAGACATGCCCATCACAGCACACATACACACAGCAGGTCACAGTGCAACACAGCACACACGGAAAGAGATGCACAGTTCTTTTTAAAAAGAATATATACTTTGTTTACTTGCAAAGATATTTTTAAAAATTGGAATCCTGCCAACCAGCTGCATAGAGAGAAAGATGGAGATAGATTTTTTTATCTGCTACCACCACCATTTCACCTTGCTCACTAAGCAGCTGCTTGATCTTTTCTCTATCTTTCCCACCTGCCCCTGTCCTTGCCTTTACTGATTCTGAGGGGAAAGGTAGCAACAGTGATTGTGGACTGTAATCAGTAGGGCAAATGAGAATAAATTCAGTGATGTTTCCAAATTGTTCAGGAATAAGTATAAAACTGCACAGCATGAGTGGCTATTTAAGTCTGGTCTAGAGATGTTTTATATGTGCACTTATAGAGAAGGCAATAGAAGAGTCATGTGAAAAGAAGAGTACAAATCAATTCTGGCATTGCACTTGTGAGTCACATGAGTCAGTAAATTTTTTTTCCATCCATCCATGTTATGTGGATGCATAATACTTGATGATGTCAAAGTGCCTTTTAGGTTGTTTTGAGATCAACTCATAACCTGTATAACATATTTGGGATTGTAACAACAAGAACAAATCTCAGGAATTGCCTGTTGACTTTGGGAGGCTTCTCTCTTCCCCTTGTTTGTTTGTGCCATCAAAGAACTAATTCCTGGAACTGTTTGCCTTTCTGCTCTGTACATCTTATCTACCTGTGGTACACTATGTTCTGGATTACATATGGCCTGATCTATTGGAGAATAGAAGCATTTACAGCAGATGATCTTTTGGACCAAATCAGTTTTATGATTTTTGTTTTGTTTTCTGAATTAGGTTTTTTTATTATTTGTAACAAATCCAAGAACCATATGAAAGTAATGCAGATTATAACATTTTTTACAAGCACAATGGCTATAGATGTCAAAATAGGGGAACTATTCTATTTGTTTATATCCATCTTTCTAGAATTTTATAAAGTAAAGGGGAAGTTAAAATACTTCTTGAAAGGCTGCTCCTGAGGTTTGAGGTGCCTTCCATACTGGCATGGGGTATGGCATGAGGTGCTATAGCAGGAAGAGGGAACCTGCAGAAATCAGGACCTTTCCTCCAACTGCCACACATTGGTATCCAGGCACACATTGGTATCTTTGGATCAAAGGCAGTATGTAAACTGCCCCGATTTCTATGAAGCACAAGCACAGCATGAATATATAGAAAGTTAATTACAATTAATGTCTTCAGATACCTTGACACCATTACAAGCAAATAACTCTTTGCCTCACCATTCAATTGCATGGATTTTAACAATTCTTTATCCCTGTTGTTTAAGATACACCAGCAGAAGAGGAACCCTCTCCTTGTGCACCTGTATTTGCGCATGGGCGGCAATGTCAGAATGGTACTGAATGCAGACCAGGATGGGAAGGACCTAAGCATGGCATTACCAACTTCGACAATTTTGCCTTTGCCATGTTAACTGTGTTTCAGTGCATCACCATGGAGGGATGGACAGATGTGCTATACTGGGTATGTATGTGAAATCAATCTGTGGCAATGTGGATACAGCACTCTTCTTATGTCATGCTCAAAACATGGGGCTGTCATTGCTATTTTGTTATACTGCTTGCTCTGTATGTCATGCAAATGGGATAACTACTGAACTGATACCTCAGATTGATGTCGTGCATTAAAGGGGCAGTATGACAGCCCTTCACTGTTTGTTCTTAGCTTTCAGTGTTATCTTTCAATTTACATTTATTGATCAAGATTTTCACTATGCTTTTACTGACCAGTGTTTTCTTGCATGAGAAATGTTTCATACTGCTCCAGATTAATAAAGCAGCACAATTTCTTGCTAACCAAATAATTACACTTCATTTAACCATCTTACTATCACTGGAAGCACCAGCCTCTAGATATCTATATAAATGAAGACTCTTGGGTCATACTTATAGGAATATCTAAATTGTTAAGCTATTTCCAACACACAAGAACTGAAATTTAGTGTGTAATAGTCTATGTCACCCTGATTACTAAAAGAAAAAGAAATCTAGAAACAGAATGGGATGAATCCAACGGTAGTCATCCTCAGAGTAACTATTTTAGGTCCATTAATTTCAATGGGTCTACTCTTAAGTAAAATTTAGATGGCGACAACCCAACATATCTATCTCTGTCCCTTGAAACGTAGGCCATGGAGTCTTCCTCATAATAACAGCCAACATTCCACTACAGTGTAAGTCAAAGCACAGATGAGGGCAGCCAGAAATCTTTGGTGACAGAATACAAACTGTAGTTACTAGTATTAGTATAGGAGTCACAGAGCTAAACGATGACCATGTCTGGGCCTATGGAAGCAGGGTTGTCCAAATCTAAACCTTCCATAAATAAGTTTGTCTAATATTCCTTAAATTGTTCCAGAGAAGGAAGTTCTACTACTTTCCTGAGCAACCTATCCTCTTGTCTAAAACATTCTTAGACTGAAGAAATCTGTAGTAATGTTAGAAATTACACCTTGCATCACAGACAAGATTTATGGTTTCAGATACTCTTAGTAAACTCCTCTGGTTTCTTGAGTGAAGTGTCTCTGTGACTGAATCTCCATCACTTCCAGTGTCAGAAACAGAAAAAAAATTTACAGGGGCAGTCACAGAAGGGGCACAGCTTATTTCTAGGTGGGCAAGTTGTTCTCTGAATGAAAAATATGCAATATGTTAACAATAGGAGTCCAGCAATGAGAGCAAGGGTTAGGGGCCAGGTTTGCCCCTTCCCCCCAGTTCCCCTCTGGTGCTGTCCATGCACTTCTCTAGCACAGATCCTGTACTAATAAGTCAGAACTGCAAGTTCACAGAAAACAAGGCTGAACAAGGCACACTGAGTTTCAGTGGTCATCAACATGATAAAGTTTAGCCAGAATTAGCTCATAGACAGGGTTAAAATATAAAGGTTAGAATGCCAGGGGTGCTTTCATGATCCTGCGAAGCATTTTCACTCATAGGAATTGGCATTCAGTTCAGTGATTGTGTGACTCTACATGTGACTTGAATTCTGGTTAGCAAACTACCTACTCGGTTGAAATGAAAGAGGAAGGCTATGTGGACAGTGGAGCACCATGTATACAGTGGAGCCCCTGAAGCCACAGGGAATCACTTCATTATGGCACAGGCTTAAACTTGTTTGAATCCATCCTCTTATGTGTATTTAAAACTTTTTTAAAAAAATCTAAAAGTAGCAGTCCGGTGGGGAACACCATCATGAGACATAGGGTTACCATCTGAGTTATCATCAGCACAGGACACATATAATAGGCAAAATTGTGTCTTATATTAGACCAGTTTTTTAAATATCAAGCAAAATTGTTAATCTGACATGGTTTTTCGTCAGACTGGCATAGATAGCTTTGAGAGCAAGAATCAACTTAATTTTATTTATATGTTTCTGTCCTATCTCCTCTCTATGACTTGGCATGGGGTGTAATTTAAAAATAATGCTTAGACATATTGCAGGGTTTATTTAAAACAAAAAACCGTCATGCCATAAAAAGCTTAATTCTAGCCACCAAAATCTGGCCCAAATGCAAAAGGTTTTCAAACTTCTGCCATTTCTCCTTCCCCCCACCAAGGCTTTTGTGAATTTACAGGAAAGGAAATTCCATTTTCCAATAGTATGTGGATCTTTTTTTTGACATTGTAAGGAATTCTGCAGCATGCTCCCTAGATTGGGCCTTCTCTAAAAGTGTTGGTATCTAAAGCAGCTGCCTGGGTTGATTGCTTGCACAATTGGGTTGGCCCCCTTGCTGAGTGGATTATAACAACCCAAGGGAGCAAGGTAGGAAGCCTGCAAGTCTGATGCAGCTGGTTTAGACATGCTGACTTGTAAAACTCCCTTCCATCCTCCAGCATCTCTGAAATTGCACTCTTGAGCTTTGATGAAAAAGCTTGAAACAGAAGCTCACAGTTGCCCTGGAAACTCCTGTCAGGAAATCAAATTGGGGAAGAAACCAGGCAATAGATATAATTTACTTTGCTGACAGCCTTGACATGTTTTGTGAGCTTTGCTTATCCCTCTGCAGCCTGTTGAAGCCCATTGAGGGAGATGTGGTGATGAGGAACACAGTGATATTGCCACAATTTTTTTTAATGTTATAAACAGAACCACCACCCCACAATTTTCAGCAGCTGTGTTTGTGCTTTCTCACCCTTTATTTTTAAGGGTGCATAGGCTTGAATTAGCATGGCCTTTCCACACAAGAGAATAATCTGTTTTGCTGAATGCACCTCTCTGCATGTTTCCTGTACATATTTTTTCTCCAAGAAAGAACTACTGCTTTCTTTTTAGATTGGTTTGTTTAGAAGGGGGAAACAATAAACACAGCAGATTTGGGCAGGGTTGTGAAATATAACAAAGAATAAGCCCAGGGAATTTAAAAAAAACAGTCATCGCTAATTAATTCCAAGTATCTCTTTGCCGAAAAAAGAAAAAAAGATGACAGGTATTGGGTGTTCATGTTTTGTGCCAGTGAGGAGCCATGATGCCAAGACAATTGCTGCCAGTTCCAGAGGGCATATAAAACCCTGGATTGCTGTCACTTGTGTATACTACTTCATTTTAATTTGTTCTGATTTCAGATTGTCCATTATCTTGCTTTCTTAGTCACCATGTAGCCAGGATAATGTAACATTAGCCAGGCTATCATAGCACTTTTCATGAATAAAATGGATATAAGTTCTTCTTCTGGATATAGCTATTATTAGGAGAGAACTAAAAATGGATTGGTGACCACAGCAAAAAACAAAAAACACCAAATAAACTATCCTTTAAGTGAATGCAAAAGGCACAGGCTACTCACAGTCTCTCTGTGATCATCCCACCTGTACAATATGGAAGACACTTGATTAATTATAGTTTATGATTCCTTGCAAACTAGAATTGGAAACCAGGGTTGATAGAATTTAGATATAACAGTGAACTATGGTTTCCCATAAACTATAGCATGGGCATGGGATTTAGTGGGTACAGTGGTGCCCCGCAAGACGAATGCCTCGCAAGACGGAAAAACCGCTAGACGAAAGGGTTTTCCGTTTTGAAGTTGCTTCGCAGGACGAATTCCCCTATGGGCTTGCTTCGCAAGACGAAAATACCTTGCGAGTCCTGAGATTTTTTTTTCGCTTTTCCCCCCCTTTATCTAATCTGCTAAGCCTTTAACAGCCTTTAATAGCCTTTTAGCAGCTAATCCCCTAAGCCTTTAAGCCTTTAATAGCCGCTAAACAGCTGATAGCGCTAATAGCGCTAATCCGTCAATGGGCTTGCTTCGCAAGACGAAAAAACCGCTAGACGAAGACTCTTGCGGAACGGATTAATTTCGTCTTGCGAGGCACCACTGTATTGCTGTGCATAAGGAGATGGAGAGGAAGGAGCTCACGAGGCTGAGGCTTCTTAGCGCCAAACTGTGGGTTGGTATTACATTTGAACCAATTGAGAATTTGCTGGGAACTAGAAAAGAGGAGGCCTCTGTCCAATGTCCTGCTCGGAAAGGATATATTTCACATTCCCACCTTTCTCTTGACCTTTTTTTAATCACTTTCTTCATTATTTTGCGCTTTTCTCATTCTTTCCATAACTGACGCTTTCACCATCACCAAATCCTATTTCTCAATCAATTGTTCCCAGCTATGGAACACTGGGAGATAATATCAGCAGCAGTCTTTTGAAATAAAATTTCAAAGGTGTTGACTAGGGGAAGTGTCATAGTTCAGTGTCAGAGGGAACTGTCATTTTTGAAACAGAATTCAGTACAGAATGTAGGATTTAATTTTACTGACTTTTCTTCCAAAATCAGTACAGTGGTACCTCTGGTTAACAACTTAATTCGTTCTGGAGGTCTGTTCTTAACCTGAAACTTTTTTTAACCTGAGGTACCACTTTAGCTAATGGGGCCTGCTGTTGCGCCGCCGCCACGTGATTTCTGTTCTCATCCTGAAGCAAAGTTCTTAACCCGAGGTACTATTTCTGGGTTAGCAGAGTCTGTAACCTGAAGCATATGTAACCTGAAGTGTATGTCACCCAAGGTACCACTGTATTGTTTTCCAATCAGTTGGATCATATGGGAAATATGCAGAAAGGCAGAAAGAACAAATGAGTTCAGTATGGCTATTTTGCCTGCTAATTATTTGTTCAGGTCCAGTGTTTTCTCCACTAGCCAACTGTATACAGGACAATCTGTATGCAGGGACTGGGTTGGAGGTCAGCTGTTGATTGGTATAGTTTTCCCAAGAGAAACAGGAAACAGTTACTGCCAGGCCTCTGTGAGTACAAAAATCTATAAGGAAATTATGGCAAAGAACAAGAGTGAGAAGCCAGACCTTTTCTGCCTTCTCTCTTGTCATATATTGTTTTTTGCCTGCATATACGTAGTGGCTGATATGGAAAGACAAGAACAGGCTGGTTAAGGCTAAAATGTTCTTTTTGCTGGAAATTCTGCAAAAGTGATATATAAATATGTGAATTAATTTATTAGTAGCTGAGTTATGGGCCAGTTATGGACTGTCAGTTGATTATTTCCAGGAAGTTTTCTAATTTAGGACTTACAATACTAGCAATTGTAGCCCACCAGTCATCCTTAGCTGAACTGAATCCCCCATACAATATCTCAGAATACAGAGTTAGTGTTCCTTGGAGTTTCATAATACTTTGATACAAAGCTGCAACTTACATCAAGGTAACCCAAGCAGAAAAATCCAATGCAGAAGAAAAATGGACAGAGAATCCCACAAGATGGCTTCTGCTCTGCATGGGATCGTTTTGTTTTGGTTTTTATGACTTGCTTTGTAACTTTACTATCATAGAATGTTCTTGGGAGGGGGGGAAGCGGTGATTTTGGTCATCCCCTATTGTTAATACTACTGAAAGAGTAGAATTTACTACTTTGTGGATACCACAATGGTTCCAACAGTAGGAGGGAATTTTCTTGTTGTAGGTGGGAGGGGAAAGGGGGGGAGGGGAAGTTTGGGGTTTGTTCACCGTCCAGCTGTTAAACTATTGCAAGTTGCCAACAATTGTCTTTTAGATATAATGTTTTCCACATGCTCCTATAATGTACTAATCATCCTGGAACAAGTATGGATAATTTAAAAATAATCACATTTTAATGGGATCAGCCATAAAATGGAGATGGGTTTGTAAGGAATTAAGAAAAGGGAGACCAGACTTGATTCTGGTCCAGGAGACTCACCAGAGGAGGAGGGGGACTACAATGAGTATGTCTCCCTTCCCCTCCCCTCCTCTGGGAGACAGTGGTTTGCCTCTCAGGGAACATCTAAGGCTTGTGGGGTAGCAACATGTGTTGCGGATAAATCAGAATTTAAACCTGAACAAACCCTTAGTGATCCTGATCTACGTTACTTGTTTATCAGGGGCACATTGCAGGATCAGTGGCTGACTATTATGCACCAAACAACCAACAGGAAGAATTTTGGGGGGGAAACTTTGACGGAGCTGGAAAATTTTAGTTTACAAAGTGTAGGGCAGAACATGTCCAGAATGTGAATTTACCTTTACAAAAGACCTGAGTGTTCTACTTGTGATCAGTATGTTCCATTTGGTATTGAAGATACTAATATTCTTCAGAAAGCTGTAAATTAATAGATGCTCAGCATTTTCTACCTTGAAGCTTGAAGTATGAAAACATTACTAAAGAGCATGGAGAATTTATATCTTATTATATTTCTTACTATCTTTCTTTTCAAGCATTTAGATGACTATGTAAATCATTACACAACATTTTATGCATTTTATGCTGTACACACACTCACACAAAGGAATCTTACATCTCTCTGTTGGGAAATGGAAAACCCTGAGCTTGGAGAGTTGAAGTAATACTGTGAATCTCTTTCATGATAATCAGCCTTGTAAATGTAAATACAAAATAAACATAAGCAGAAGGGGAAAGCCCCTAGAATTTGAACTGAAATCAGCTCTAACATTTGGAGACTTAGTGTCCTGAAGAATATGTTCATGCTTACAGTCAGGGCTTTATCCTTTTCAGAGTGAATTTCCAAAGCTTGTAAAAGATGAAAAGACTTTTAAATAACTAAGATTTCTAAGTACCAGAGGAATAGATGGATACTTCGTAATGCTGTAGAATTTGCAATGAAATAATAATCAACCCTTCTGTGTAAATAGCCTTTGAGCCTTATGGGTTCTTTTAAAAAAATCCATTTGGGAAAAGAAGCGATCTTAATTTTTTTTTAAAAGAACACATTTACACTGCTGGCCAAGGTGACCCACTAGCAAATACACTGTGATCAAAGTCATTTTGAAGGTCCTTTAGGGAGTTTGTATAGGTCACACATAATCAGTGCTAAAATAAAATAGATTGGCATATCTGACTGGGCCAGGGACTTCACCCAGGGGTTTTTTAAAAAAGAATCTGACTCCTTATGAGATTGTAGATTTACAGGGATCTGATGACACAACTCAAATTACACAGTCTTATTTATTATTGACTATCACAAAATGCATTATGCAAAATGAGGATGGCAGGTTCTTATCATAGGATATAGAACCCATGTAAAACAGTCAAGTCCAATACTATGTATTTTAAATATTAGACAAAACCATATGCTCAGTGGATGGAAGCAGGTATTAAAGTCCAAGGAGGTAACTTCATAGCTGGCCAGCGAGAGCAGGAGCTAGAACTGAGAAGACAGGAAGCCGTTAAGACCTCTAAAATATTAGAGAGCAAGAGAGTTTTACATTTGCAGAAGCCATATTGATTCTTCAGCAAGACTTGTCCTTTTATATGCTTGATCATTTTATCCTAAATAATACTTTCCACCAATTTACCTGGACAGATGTTAAGCCAAGTGGCCTGTAATTTTCTGAATCCCCTTTAAAGAACTGGTATGGAGGCCAAGCTCAGGGACACGTTATGTGTTGAATGAATTTATTTCGGTCACTGACCAGAGTGCCACATTACATGTTAGAAGATCAGCTATTTGATATTTGAGTTCTATAAGAACTCTTGGATAGATGCCATCTGCACCTGATGATTTGTTACTTTTAAATTTCTTAATGAGGCCTATTTAGCTTACTTCTTCAAATGTCCTTCCTGAAAAGGTCAATTCAGGCACAGGGTTGTGTCCTATGTCTTCCACAGCGTGCAGACATATGAAAGAATTCATTCAGTTTTACTGCAACCTCCTTATCCTCTTTTAACAAACATGTAGCTCCTTTCTGGACTAATGGTCCAACCACCTCCCTAGCTACTTTTCTGCTTCTGATGTGTTTCATAAAGTATATTGTTGGCCTTAATGTTTTTAGTGATATCCACTTTTGCTTTGTTTCTAGTGTTATTGCCAAACTACCAGTTACTTAAATGTATGGCCACATTTCCTCACTGTGTCTCCTGGGAGTGTTTGATGAATATGTTGTCTATTCCAAGCACTGGATTAAAATACAAGTTTCACTGGGCAAACTTTAAATAGGAAATTATTGAAAACGATCAAACATCATTTCTAGAAAATGTAGAAATGATGGCTGGGAGATATACTAGCAGACCTGCAAAAGAGCACCTCTGTATATGTGGATCAGGGTCTATTGAGAATCTTTTATATTATATTATATATGATTCACCTAGAGCCAAATTTAATCTCCCCTTTTCAGACCGCCTTAGACGTTCAACCAGATGTCTTTAAAATTAAAAGGCTATTGGCAGAAGTTGATAGGGTGGCACTATTTGTACTAGCAGCAAGAAAGATAAGGACAGCCTTTATGGATAATGCAAGTGCCAGACCCTAGGGATGCTGACCAGAAGAAATTGTTTTTTGGTGTGTGTGTTTTTTTCTGGACATTGGACATCTCTTTTAGTCTAGTGCATGTAAAGTCTGTCGTTCTGTAGTTATTTGATTTGTGCTTATATTGCATTGTGATGGCCATTAGCTATAAACAATAAAAATCTATTGATTGATTGATTGATTGATTGATTGGTTGATTCAGAAAATATATGAAGTGTAGGCTACTGTGAACAGAATGGGCTGGCAGTAGAGGGAAATTATTTATGTGGTCCCCCATTCAGATTCAGATCTGCTTTGTTTTAACAAGGTGGCTGAATCATGTGGTTTCAGTCTATGCCCTGAGACCTGTTGTATGCTATTTATTTAAAGAATTTTTACCCTGCTTCAATATGGCTAACCTGATTCAAAAACACCCACCCACCCCACTCACACATGAAAACAAAGTTCACCACAGCCAATCACAAACAAGCAACCACACTCTAGGCTAACCCCAGCTTCTCTCACCACCAAAGGTACACAAGCGAATAGCAAAAAGAACCTGCACAAGCGATGCTGACACAAAACCCCCCACACACATACATTAAATAAAATAGAAACTTTGCCACCTGACCCCACCCCCACCTACCATGGCTCCCTCCACCTCTTTCCCCCCTTTCTTCCTAATGTAACACTAATGTCTCAACAAATGAAACTGACCTGTAGAAAATGTAACTTGAAAAAATAGACATTGCACATATTTTTGTAAACCAAGAAATCTTTAATAAAAAATACATTAAAAAACAAAAAACAAAACAAAATGATTAATAGAGACAGGGAGAGAAATAGGAGGAGAGGGGTGGGGGAACCACACTCAGGTATCAATTCTTAAAGTTAAAGTTCTCAGGTCTGAAGCTGAGATGGAAATAGTTCAGGTAGTTTGATGGAATAGTTGCTGCTAGAAGACACTGAAAGATAGGCAGAGCCAGCTGGTCTCTCAGAAGAGCTGTTAGAATAGCCTTGAGCAGGCACAGGCAACCTCTGGCCCTCCAGATGTTTGGGACTGCAATTCCCATCATCCCTAGCTAACAGGACTAGTGGTCAGGGATGATGGGAATTGTAGTCCCAAACATCTGGAGGGCCAGAGTTTGCCTATGCCTGGCCTTGAGTCTCTTCTCTCCTTCGGCTGGAGCCTGATGGAGTGCCTGCTGCTAGGTGATAGCTGAGTTGCTAGCCCACAGTTTTGCTTCAGAAGCAATGACCTTGCACAGATTTTACCTGAAACACTAGAGGCCCCAGTTAAAGATTTCTAAGGAACAAAACGTGCCCCCATAGTTGCATCATAGAATATTCAGCCTATTACTGTGGGGGGAGGGATGTCCCTAAAAATTGGATTGATCCTTGGAATTAGATGAAATCTAAGAACCTTTTGGTTGGGATGGGCTTACCTTAAAGTGGCAAAGGATCCTGCCCCCCCCCAATAAATAAGACAGACTAAGACAGATCTACAATGTCCAGAAAACACACAAACCAAATAAATAAACTTTGTTGTTGCTTCACACAATGGCTGCCCTGAACAACTCAGTAGTGTTTGCTATATTTGTCCAAAGGGATTGATGCTATGTTAATAAAGTAGCAACATTTCTTGGGGGAGGCAGAAGATGACTGCCCTTAATAAATAAGAAATCTGTCCCTCCTTGCCTGCATGTTAAGCCCACGCCACCAGAAAGTTCCTATAATTCATTCCCATGTTGTTGCTTTGTGAAGGATGAATAGTTCCCACCCTTAATAGAAAATGCTTGGTTTCGAGATAGTTGGGGCAAGGCAAGAGGATTGTAATTGGAAATGTATTATTGTTGAATGCAAAAAAGTTAGACAAGTACTTATTCTCTTTTTCCCTGGCAAATCACTCAATGTTTAGGTTGTATAGTAGATCTAAGACTTAATCCTTTCACAAATCCTTATCAGACGTCTAACTAAGCAACTGTATCCCTCTGGGGTGGAGTATTGTTTAGGTTAGTTCATCAGGAACCATTACAAATCAATGGATTAGTTGCAGGCTCCTGGGGATGCTTCTCTGCAGATAAGGGTCTCTGGCAATGCCTTGCTTTCTCTTGGCTCATTGCTCTTTGGGAGAGAAGTAAATATGTTGGTTGAAAAGATAGTTCCCCTCCACCTCTGCTGTTATTACTGGCAGAGAGCCAGAATAGCTTGCTAACAACCTGGCTCACTGCTAGGTGACTCCTTGCTTTTAATATTTTGTTCTCAGAGAGGAGACTCAGACTGCATCTGTAAAAATAAGAAGACAGGTTTCTGTATCAAAAAGCATTACTTGAGATGTTGCCCAGTTTATTTACTTGTATTGCCAGATATATAGATGGGATGCCAGTACAAATATTTCCATGTATGTGTCCATTCCTTATACAGTGAATAACAATGAATTTCATTGCTGGACAATATATTACACAAAGTGGCACCTCCCTCCTTAATAGAGGCAGTTGAATTGCACTGAATTGCTAATTGCTTTTGCATTCATTAGTTTTATTCTGCAAAGATTTAACTGATTCATCATGAAGGAAATAAAAATGAGACTTTATATGATAAAAAACAACCCCTAATATTTTGAGCAAATAAAAATCAGAGCAAGTTTTGCAAAGGATTGGAGCTCATATTGTATATCATTAAAATATTTTCTACCTGGAAATCTGGAGATTTTCTTTCTTTCTTTCTTTCTTTCTAAAACAGTGTTCTTCCTCATTTCTATTCTGGGCTACTATAACCACAGAGCAAAATGTTCTGTTGGCTTTGTCTTTAAGTGGCATCCTGACCCTAGGCAAATTTATTTGGGAGTTAATAGCACAATGCTACGCATGTTTACTCAGAAATTCAGTTGGGTGTCATTGGGGTGTATTTCATCACAGTAAGTGTGTTTAGATTGCAGTCCTAGTCAGTGCATTTTTTTCAGGGGGTATGCAAGGTTACGCAGTACCGGCACCTCTTTTGTTGTTAAAAAGTGTGACACTGTAACAACTTCATGGTGAAGTTGTATTTTTCTCTTCCCCTCGCGCCCAAACTCTGCACACACTCTCTCCCCCCCAACTCTGCTCTCTCTTCCCCTCCTGTCTGAACTCTGCGCTCTTTCCACAGGGCGTGGTGCATTTTGTAGGTGTCCGGTCCCTATTATGGGAAATTTTGTGGGTGCTCGGGCACCCAGAGCCCTGAGGAGATGGCACCTATGTGTGGTGCTCATTTTCTAGTGGGGTGGGGTAGAATTTGTCCTTTTAGTTGTTTTGTACATTATTGTTTTTTCCTTTGCTTTTTAATTGATTTTACAGGTTTGTATTTTATCTTAAGTTGCTTTGAGACTTTTTGAAAATAAAGTGACAAACAAATGTGAATACTAATACTAATAGGTTGATGATTGGTGCCAGATGGTGCAGGCAAGAATGAAAGGGCTGGCGGTCAGCTACCAAATGATATAAGGCAAGTTTTCTACTTCTACTATTCATAAAAATAAAATGCCCTGTGTGGAACACAACTTGGAACAGGTGTTATATAGAGCTAGGCAGGCCCATGTTCTTAGCTGAAATTAAAGGTGGCTTTTCCTGCTTTAGCCACCATGTGAGTGATGCTGCAGCATAGCAGAGACTGAGGCAGGAACACCTTCAGAGTGAGAGCTGCTCTAGTGGTCATGGGCTCTGCTTTCTGAATTGCTGGTTTGAGTGCCCCCAACACCTTGCACCCTATCAGGACATCCTGCTTCTACTGATTTCTATATTTACTTTTACCACAAGATGAGATCAGTTCCTTTTGTCGAGTTTTCAAGTTTTAAAATTCAGATGTGGAAGTTTTGGGCACTGTTGACAATATGAAGTTTCACCAAATGCAGTTCCATGTTTCTGTATGTACCACAGATTATCTCATAATAGAACTAAGAAGCTGGTAGATGAACATCTTTTCTTGGTGCAGTTCATGCAACTCATAAATAAGAAATTCACATAGAACCAAATGCACTATTACAGTTATAATAAATACCTTAATGTGTGTGTGTGTGTGTGTGTGTGGTGTTTTTTTAAATGAACAGTATTGAAAACATCCTGGCAGATTTCATGGTCTGGTTCGGCAGTGCGTGACTGCATCAAATATTACTGTGTGCAAGTTTTTCATCTCAGTAGAGAAACTATGAAAGACTAGGCTTTGGACTCAGCTTGATGTAGTCCTGTTCAACTCTCCATGACCCCATGAACCAGAGACTCAGCTATAAAGCTGCAAATACAGTGGTACCTCGGGTTACATACGCTTCAGGTTACAGACTCCGCTAACCCAGAAATAGTACCTTGGGTTAAGAACTTTGCTTCAGGATGAGAACAGAAATCGTGCTCCAGCAACGGGAGACCCCATTAGCTAAAGTGGTACCTCAGGTTAAGAACAGTTTCAGGTTAAGAACGGACCTCCAGAATGAATTAAGTTCTTAACCCAAGGTACCACTGTAAAACATTTTAAGTGTGTTTTAAGTGCAATATACAATGTGACACTAGATGGCGATGGTGAGCCTTATGGAAATTCAATGTATTTTAAAAAAGGTTTTTATATGCGTGTAGATTCTACCCTGATCAGTAAAAAAAGTTCTGCAGAAAAAGCCTACATCTGCTGTCAAGGATTTGGGTTTGTGATTAATGGCTGCATAGTCAATGTGCTTTGGCAAATTGCCAAGAATTTTTTAAAAACCCAAACATAGAGTCAGGGTGCTCCTTTTCATAATAGAAAAATAATGTTCTGCTGATAGTTTCATAAGACTTTAGAAACAAGTCCTCCTTACAAGAAATCATAAGTCCTTCATAACCAGCAGTTTGTATAGAGGCCAAGTGTCCATGAAATAGCAACTGTAGCTCTATAAAATATATTTTTATGTCTTTTGTCACATATCCTATAATTGGTCCATCCCTGCCCCACACCCGGGTGACGGAGACATTATGTCAGTATCAAATAAGTATAGGAATTTGGCATTGTTTATCTGCACTACAAATATACAAAGAACTAAACTGCGAAGAAACATTTCTGTGGTGCAGCAGGACTGATTTCCCATTTACTGCTTCTCTGGCAGTAGCTCTGCTCCAGTTCTGATAGCTTGATAATTGTACAAACACAGTTGAACAGAGGGACTCTATCTGCAGGATAGCAAGTCTGCTTGCTCTGTTTTTCCTAATTTTAACAGCTTTTCTTAGCCCTATGCAAGTTCCATACCTAAAGGGCTAGTTCCTTCTGTGTAATCCTCCTTGTCCACTAAGGCCCAAAGAGGAAGTCCCGATTGGAACTACCACCAAAGTCTACTGAGATTGGTGTCCCTACTTGATTCCCGTATATACCCAGTAGATCCCTACAGTCTGCAGTTTCCAAATATCTCAGAAACCTGCTCCACAGTAACTCATAGCAGAGCTGTTAGCATGGCTGCTCCTATTCTGTAAAATAGCAGTCCTTTCATGATATGACAGGCATTTTCCAGAAACAATTAGCAATATTCCTGTTCCAACAGACTTTCCCAGATGGATAACTGGGGCTTTTCCATCACTGTCTGTTTGGTATTGTTTTAGTTTTGTTTTAAATCTGTTGTTTAATTCTGCTGTTTTCTGCATTTTTTTTTAATAGTTTTTGTTGCACATTGCCTTGAGACAATTATGGTGACTATAACTGTTGTTATTATTGCTGGGGACTCAGGAAATGAACCCACTGTGTGAAACTCCTGCTCTGGGAGATCCTCTGCTCTCGTCTTTATTGGTCTTCCAACACTCACAAAAGACCTGTTTGTTTTTTGCACTGATCAGTGGCTGCATTTCTGCTCTTTCTTGATACTGTTGTTGTTCTGCTGCTGTTTCCTTTTGTGTTTTTAAATGTATTTAATTTGTGTTATTAATCATTAACATCATTAATGATGTTAGCTGAGTTGGAGGATAAACAAATTGTGCAACAAGATTAAATAAAAAACAGAAAGCTACAAAGTGACTGACATAGCACCACGGTAGGTGCTGCCACACTAAGGGCTAATCCAGACTTCATTTTGCACCACACTTTCCAGGCACAGGTCCACGTTTTGTAGGCCACACAGGTTTTGTTTTATCCCACTGCTTTCCTGAGAAAACCCATTGTTCAACACTGAATCGGAATAAGTTGACACAATTTGCTCACTAAGGCTGCAGTCTAACCATCCTGATGTTGATACTATGAAAGAGTATTAAAATGAATTGCAGGCCTCCATCAGCAGAGAGGAGCGCTACTGATGAAGGAGGCTCTGCTCTGAGTTGCTGGGAAGCTACTGCTGGTGGCCCTCCTCCTGGGGAGCATTTTACCACCCTGTTCTTTAATTTATATTTAAATTGGCACTGAATGGCTCATGTACACACACACACAGAAAGAGAGAGAGAGAGAGAGAGAGCACACTTAAATTAAGGAGTTTTATCATGCCAATTTAAAAATTGTTTTAAAAAACTGCTTCCTTTCCGACTCCAGCCATTTTAGCAACGTGTCTGTTGTTTTCAGTTAGAAACTTCTGATGTAAAACACGTCTGTTCCAGTAATGCAGCACTTTGTAACAAGGCATAGCAGAAATCAGCCATAAACAGCTTCAGTAAGTACTATGGTGCAGATTAAACAATTGATTTAAGCAGTGGCTGCTCAGGTGAATTGTACCCTTCCCTGCCCACATGACTTTGTCATGTCCACTAGAGTGAACAGAATGTGTCAGGATGCACCCGCAGAAAAATCACAATATTCCCAAGAGGGTAGAAAATCAGCTGCAATTTGCATTTGTAGCTTAAAATGGAAGAACAGTGATTATAGCTCTAGGAGCAGCCTAAAGCTTTTGGCCTATCGCTTTCTCGACTCTACAGAAAATAATCCTCAGGGTAACAACCATAGTGGCAGCAGAGATAGGACAGGTATCACTGAGTCTGAAGAGGGCTACTTTTCTTTACAGCTGGCAGCACAGGGAGAGGTTTTTCCACAACTGAGAAGTTTTAGGAACCCTTCATAATATTCTTTGAAAAATTAAAATATTTCATTGCACTGCAGTATTAGTATATTCACATCCCTCTTTGATGAGCAAATAGCAGCTCCCCATTTTCAGAGAGGCAGCAGCTTTGGCAGTGGCAGGCAAAAGGATTTGTGAAATTTTAGCAACCACTTTGTCCTTTGCATGGGGACTAGATCATGAACAAATACCAAACAGGGCTTGTAAAACATTCACAAAAGCAAAGCAAAAGCATGTCCCAATTTTATTCCGTCTATGATATGTTTTATAGGTTAATGCAAGAAACAGGATGTGCGCATCATTAGTTTGACCCAACAGGGATGCCTTTATAGTACAGCAGCCAGAAGGGTTACCTATATTCATTTGTCCAACACCCAAGTACAGAGACTCTTCCCTCCCTTTTCCTTTTGCCACTCAAGTGACTCTACACAGTGTAGAAATGTCCTCATGGTGTCAGCATTCATTGTTCCTAATAGGAACAGAGGAAACTGACATACTGAGTCAGACTCAGTCCACGTAGCTCAGAATTCTGTGCACTGACTGGCAGTGCTTCTTCAGGATTTCGGGGGGGGGGGCACATTCCCAGCTCTTTCTGGAGATACCAGGGACTGAAACTGGGACCTTCTGCATGCAAACCAGATGGCCTATAATTGAGCTATGGCTACCTCCCTGGGCTTATACTGTACAGGTTTGCTTTGAATACAATGGCTTTAAATCTTTTGTATTCATTTGAAATTGAGGGGACAACCTGTTCAGTTGCCACAAGGAAGTTCAGGTGTCATGATGCTATAGTAAAAAGTGGAAGTCTTAGTTATGAAATGTCAAAATTATACTTCTTTCCCTGCTTTCTTTAATAACAGAGATGGAACCTGAAGGCAGGAAAATTGTTCTGCTTTAGGAATGTGCTACTTGAAGCCATTGCTTCAGACTATTTCATAAGAATGCTGGGCTTGATGCAGAATACATTTATGAGTAAAAATCAAGAGCAGAGGATTTGATTGTAGCTATATGGGCAGTTTTACCTTCCCCAGTATGAATTCCTGGATAATATTTTTTAAAATGCTGTGGTTCAGCCTTGCTGTGCCAATGGGAAGGCTGCTTTTTTACAAAGTGCATATATGCCTTGTTTATCCCAAAGCAGAAGGAAACATGGTAAAGACTTGCAGATATTTACTGAAATATATGTACATAATGTACTTTAGTATAAAAACAGCAGTAATCACAGCACATTTCCTTAACCCTGGTCTCCAATTTGGGTAGTTCAGTACAAATGGTTACTCCGAAAACAACAAAAATAAACGTTTGAATCTTTAAACAAAACTAGATGGTTGCTGATGCACCACCCAAACTGTATTCAGTGTGACCATCTGCTTTGATAGCGCAGCAAATGGGGGGGGGGGACACACACAGAGGAAAGGGTGTTTCTTAACTTTTTTGTTGTTATTATTTTAAAAATGTAATCTCTATCCAATTGTTCACAAATATATTATGTCTATATTTTGTAACTGAGGGTTTCTTCCCCCCTTCTTCCTCTATATTTTAATATGCTGAAGGCTATAAATAATAATCTAAACAAAGGGTCACTGGAGTAACTAGCACATAATAAAAATGTTATGCTTCTCTTATATCAATGAGTAAAATAGGTGGTTCCCAATATATCTGGTTTAATTTCACTCTCATGGACACATTCTGTTTTCACATGGTATTTTAAGTCAAAGGCCCTTCAAAACAGCTAAAATTAGGTATTAGCTAAAATATGTCCAACTATCTGTTTTATCCACAGGCCTTATTTGCAAACCTTTCTGTCTTCTTTCCCTAATCCATTCTGCTTTCTGTCTCTATCTTCTAACTATCCTCCATCTTTCCAGATGCAGGACGCTATGGGCTATGAGTTACCCTGGGTGTACTTTGTCAGTCTGGTCATCTTTGGATCCTTTTTCGTTCTTAATCTGGTTCTTGGTGTGTTGAGCGGGTAAGCTGCTGGTTTTGGTGTTATTTTTTCCCCCTCATGCTGCAGGGCAAGACTCCAGAATCAGGGTTCTTCTGTGTCACCAGAATCCTTTAATTGTCACAAGCAAAACCAAGGGTTATATTTGTTATGATTTCTACATTGATTCCCCAGACTTTGTTTTGCCTGTGTCTGACAGGCAAGTTACAGCACAGTATACAGTGGTAGGAAATTCACTTGGTAAGGTGACCAAATACTTAACTCAATCTATACTAAAGTAGGTAGAAAATTTACTTCCTGGTTGATTGAACCGAACAACAAATTCAGCACTGGTGACTCAAGTTCCCTTCAACTGGAGCCTTGTAATGCTCAGGAATGGAACTTTCCACACTAATTATCATTCCACTCTTCCAGGTCAATGATGCCATAGGAAGGGGCTGGCCCTGGATCTATTTTGTTACACTAATCATCATAGGGTCATTTTTTGTACTTAACTTGGTTCTCGGTGTACTTAGCGGGTAAGCAGTACCTGGAAAAATGTTTGGAATTACTATTGTTGTTGTTTAATTACACATGCTTCTGTATTATTCTTTATGTTCTTTCTCTTGGGTTGAAGATATGGGCCCTGATCCAACATATTCCCAATGTCATCTGTTAATGTCAGTGGGATTTGGATCAACTTTACCTTATAAATGGACAGTGAAAGTCTAAATTAAAAGTATGGCATTAAGCAGCCTAAAGTAGTGGGGTGGGGGTTGAAAGCCAGCACTGCCAAAAGCTAGCAGTGCTAGGTGTGGAAAACACTCCCCACCCTTATATATAACATTGTTGGGATTGAAACTTCACCCCGATATGCAAACTGTTGCCCCTGGTGGAAGTAATGAATATAGTAAATAACATTATCATAACTCATGAGCTTATAACTAGAATTTATGAGTGGTTTACATGGGGTCTCAGTAGGGATTGGGAAGCACAGGTCTAATTACTTTGATTATTATTGGCTTGATAAACTGACATCACAGCAGAACTGGCAAATGTTGGCTATGTACTTGTGTGTCACAGAGGATTTTCGAAATTTTAGAATTTGAATTCTAAGACCCCTGAGTGATTAAAGCACATAGGTTGTCTATATGCCATAGGTCTTTTCTTGTTATTACATTAGTGAAGCAGTTTCATAACCGTTTAATGAAATGTTGACCATAGAGAGAAAAATAATACCTATTGCTTATTGGGTGATTTCCATTAATTTCAGTGGGATTATTCTGAGAATGACTAACGTTGGCTATCACCCTATGCATGTGACATCATGGTAAAGAATTGGTAAAAAATGAATGGAAGTATATGAAACAAATTTTAACCTACTGATGTTATGATTATTTATTCAATTTATATCCCATCCTTCCTCTGGAAGGTGCTTCTCAGATTATTATTTTTCTTGGCTGACAACTCTCCATTGTAACTCCATTTAATCATTGAAGGACAGGGCAGGTTTTTTGTTTGTTTTTGTTTCTAGCCTTCTGAAAAATGGGGGTCAGAAACAAAACAAAAATGGTGGTAAAATAGGAAAGATTTCAATTTTTACATTTTATACATGTCAATTGAAAAATGCAGGTTGCCCATTAGCTGTATAAACATTTGTTACCATACACACTTAGCAGATTGCGGATTTGTTCTGAGGAAATTGCCCACATGAATGAAAGGGTAGTTCAGTCAACAAGCCTTTTGATAATTTGCTTTCTTGGTATGACAGCTAACAAGCATAAATAATTTATGCCCATTGTAAGATGTGGAACTGAATGGAAATTGCAGTCATTTCACAGAATAATGCCAAATAGGAATCATTTGGAGGTCATTCTTGGTCATATATTGATACTGAATAGATTCAAATTAGCACCATAGATGGAATTTTTTAAAGAATTTCATTTGATATTCCCAGAGACAGCAGGCCTTCATAGATCAGATTTTAAGATACTGGTTTTTGTACTACTTTGCTGTTGTTGCTGTGGAATGATTTTTCAAAAACACTAATTTTTCCAGTATTATCCTTGCAATAACACAGTAGTAGAATTCCTTATTTGCCAATAATATTGGCCATTTGATTGCCCTTTTCACCCATTGCTGTCTTTTTTATTTGTATATATTTTATTTGTATATATTGCTTGTTTTATGTTGCTATGGCCGTTGGCTAATGCGAATAAAGTTTATCTTATCTATCTTACTCATATAAAAACACGCTGATTCCCGGACCATCCGCGGGCCGGATTTAGACGGTGATTGGGCCAAATCCGGCCCCCGGGCCTTAGTTTACCTACCCATGGGCTAGAATTATTTTTTAAAAATTCATTATTTGCAAGCAGAAAGTCTCAAGTTCAGTTGTCAGATCTCTACTTAAAAAGTTTACAGGGAGCAGGATGGGAAATAAGGATGGGAATCATTATTTCTAGTTGATACTTTGGGAGCAGTTGGTACACAGCAGCTTTGAAAATGATCAGACTATCTAAAGAGGCATCAGACAAATATGAACACTAAATTTTCCACTTCCTGGTTCCCCATACATTAAAGAGTGTTAACAATATTCAACAAGCCTTCAATGTGCAATAATGTTTATACAGTGCTTGGAAGGAGAAAGGCATTGGATTTCTCACTATCCATCTTTTGTTTACAGTTCCATACCACAGAGCTTCAGCTTCTAGTAGAAGCACTTTGTTTTTTCCACATTTGTCATATTTGTGATGTATCCATCTACCTTATGGCAAAGCTGTCTTCTAGAACTGATCTACTGAGCTGTTTCTGATCTTCCTGAGGGTTAAGTGGAGCTTCTTGCAATCCTCCACTTTAAAGTCTTTATTATGAGATTCCTAAGAGAAGATGGAGCAAAGCCTGGCATGATGACAGATATACATCGGCACATACAGAAGCTTGGAGTTTTGCCTTGAGTTGAGAAAAGACTGTCCTTATGTTACCGCAGTACAGATAATAGTTTGCTCAAGATTATTCAGAATAATATTTTCCTGCAAGCATTTTATAAGAAATAATAACAAAAATAATCATTAATTCTCTTTGAGAAATGATTTGAGATACAGAACAAGTAGCTGACATTACCATCTTAAAGATAAGTCATTGTGTATAAAACAGAAGAATCGCATGTATTAATATGGGTTGAAATTAATATGGACAGCCAAGTTACCATAGCAGGAAATTTATAATCTCCAGTGCAATTCAAGCTAATTCTTTTCTATCTTTCTTTTGGTCTCCTGTTCTCATCCTTTAATCCCCTCCCTCTTGCCAGGGAGTTTTCTAAAGAGAGAGAGAAAGCAAAAGCTCGAGGTGACTTTCAGAAGTTGCGAGAGAAACAACAGCTGGAGGAGGACTTGAAGGGATATCTGGACTGGATAACTCAAGCAGAAGATATTGACCCAGAAAATGAAGATGAGGGCATGGATGAAGAGAAGCCCCGAAACAGTAAGCAACTCTCCTCTGTTTGTCCTAGGGTGTCTAGCCAGCAATTAATGTTCTTTATGGGCTGCATTAATGAACCTATGCTCAGGAATTTAGAAGGGTGCACCCAAGCCTTGCTAAGATAAATTTTGCCATACTGCAACACTATCAATGTTTGCTACATAAAACTGGGGAAGGGAATGGAAGGTCCACCACCAGAGGTGTCGTGTGGCAGCAGAAAAAATAAAAACACTGTCCATGGTGGAAAACAAAACCAGGTACTCCAAGGGTGCTTGGGGGCATGTTGGGGGAGGCTGTGGATCCATAGGATCCCATTTATTCTTGGTCCCCTGACACACCCACCCCGCAGTGCCCGCCAGGATAAAGAGATGCATCTTCCAGTCACCAAAAACTATATGGTGAAGTTGCCAGACACACCTCTGTGGTAAGGAATTACAAAACCTTGGGACTGCCACAGAAAATGCCCTCTCCTGCATTACACACACACTGAGCTTCAGAGGACAACAGATCTACCAAGAGGGTTCCCGCTTAATACCCAAGAGGAGCTGTTGGGAAGCAGACAGTCTTTCAGATATTTGGGACTTGAGTTGTTTAGGGCTTTAAACACTATCATGAGTACTTTAAATTGGGCTCAGAAACAAACAGGCAACCAATTTGTGAATGCTACTCGCCTGTTCGTTGGTCTCCTTGGCAACGCTTCCCCCAGGTGGGATTGGACAACTGACTGAGGTAGGCGGAGACCTCCAGGTATCCCACCTGAGGGAAGGCAAACCAAGCCTATGCTGTTGGAGCCGCTCCAGATCTAGGGGCTGCGCGCGCCCACGCAAAGGGCGCCCCCCGTTTTAAGCGGGGAGCGGTCATTTGTGAATGCTACTCGCCTGTTCGTTTCTCTTACCTCCACTGAGAGATTGATACTCACCAGTATTAGGGGCAGTGCTTTTTTAAAAAAAAAATGTTTACGGGTGCTCTCACTTTCCTACTCATATTGAAATACCCCCCCCCTCAATGAGGCCAAACTTAGATTCGCAAATGTTTAGGGGTACGCATCCCCCTGCGTTCCCCCAGAAAAAGCACTGATTAGGGGGATTAGTAAGAATGTTTCTAAAATCCATCCTTCTTTATTTCTCTCTGGATTTTATTAGTGTCATAATGCCTTGTCCTGGTCACATGGTGGCATCAATGTTTTTGCTTTCTGTCACTGTGTTTTCAAAATTTGTAATCATGACATCACATTAATATCATACTGAGTGCACACATAACCCCCCCATGCCCATAGCTTTTTCCTTCTTAAAATACATGTATCTTAATGTAATGGTGAGTACAACTGGGTGCTAAAATAAGTCTGTGGTGCTTTAATGTGTCCTGCAAATGGCATAGCTGGGGGTGGGGGGGTGACCCCATGATGAATGGGAGAAATGAAGGGCTGCAACAAGAACCAACAGTGCATTTACCATTTCTGAAATTAATTAGAAAATTTCATTTTGAATAATTGGAAGACAGGCAAGGCAGAACACTGTGGAAGAGAAATCTGTCCACCCATGGGCACTGGTATTTGGCAGTGTTTCAGATAATGAAATGGGATACAGAGAATCTTACCCTTTCATGCTCTTTTTTAATCGGCACAGAAAACCTCTACTCTTTATTAACTCCTGGGGATATTTTTCTTTCATTTATCTTGAAATACCAGGTCTTAAACCTTTCATACTATTAGCCAATTAACAGACAGTTCTTTTGTTCTTAACATTCATTGTTGAAATGTTCATTATCAGCTAAATTCTTTTGGACAGGGAAAACCCAAAATATTTCCATAGATATACTCTGCTATCCCTGTCAAATACCAAATAAATAATACCTGATAAATTCTTTATATGGCCAAACAAGCATAGATTTTCATTAAAACTATATCCTGTCTTTGTGCAGGCACCTTCATTAAAACTTTTGCTTGAGTAAAAACTCAAGAGATAAGCCTTGGAGAATGGTGTTAGCTCTTTAGCTAAATGCTTGCATTTCTGAAATCAACCAAATTTATTATAATTTATTTAATATGACTATAGAGTTATTAATTATGAAAAGAAATTAAGATAATAAATCAGAGAAATGTATTTGTGTATCAGACTTCTATCCTACTTTTAAAAAGAGTGCTTTAATACTATTAAGAGAGATTCTGAATAGATTTTCCTAAATTACCGCTGAATCACCCCACTGAGTGGCTGATGTGCACAAAGGAAAAGATGCAATTGAATTAGGATTAGATATGCCCCTCACCACAGATACAAGGGTAGTCAGGGAAGGTAGCAGGTTTCACTCACATCATAGTGGTGCATCAAAGTGTATCCATTTCCTTTCCGCATACAAATAAGTTGTTGCTTTTCAGTCATATGGAAAAAAGCAAAGCATTGTATTGGAGACACTCCCAACTTGTAGAAAAGATCTACCAACCAGCCTTAACTGAAAGAGTCTGCACAGAAGTGTACAACTTGTCTATGTGCTCTATGTTATGCACTATAGCTCTCAAGCATACCTACAATATGCTATTGTCTCTCCACATAATGGTGGGAATTAGCTAGTTATATAAAAGGAAGAGATATGCATGCATAGGTCCCAGGTTCAACTTGTTGCATGTCTAGGTAGTACAGGGAAAATCTGTATGTCTGAAACTGGAGAGCCATCACCAGTCAGTGTAAACTGTAAACAATATTGAGCTAGATGGGCCAATAGTCTGACTATAATAGCCAATAGCCTGACTATAACTACATATGGAATGTATAATATTAAAAATGGGAACCCATTATGTTAAACCATGTATACCAAACACCCAGTTTCAGAGTGTTACTCAAATCCTAGAAGGCTTATGATAGATGCATATTGAAGATTGAAAAAGGAATGCATTATGAAGACAGTTATTGGATGACAGACAGTATTTATGCCTGCTGGATATACAGATAATCAGTGATATAAGATCTACCATTGAAATTCAGGGCTTAATGTCATTTATTGGTCATTAATCTCAAAAAGTAACCAGTGGTATGTTTTGTTTCTGGAAGAGATATTACTTTAAATACTATAATGTTGGTGCCTGAATTTCAACTTTCAGGTTTGCTTACTTACTACCTAAATGCAAACTTGACTCCTACTTTGTCTGCTGAATCAATGCCACAAAATCACACAGTAGTTCCTTAAGTTGTTTGAAATCAATCTTGAAGTCCAGAGCGCATGTCGGACCACCACCAAAACTGAGTAGGGACAGCAACATCATATTAAGAAGCGCTAGATTAACTGATGGACCACTTGGTTCTGGCAAGGGAATGATGTGATAATGAGGCTTCAGTTCCATACCACACCATACATTAAAACCACATATCTTCCAACAAAGAATCATGGGAACTGTAACTTAATTACAGGATTCTTTGGGAGAAGTCATACACTTTAAATATATGATGGGGATGAGACCATTTGTTCATGTCAGATTGGCACAGAAGTCAGACGATGAAGAAAATAATCAAGCAGAAGTTGGATACATCTTTGATGGGGTTCTTACTTGCTTCATGTTTGCCGTTTAAATGGTACCTCTTATTTGCAATATTGTTTTCATTTGTAATTAATAGTTAAAGGTGTATTTCAGATGTCGGATTATCTTTTGTTAAAGCTTGGTGAGTTTTACAACCTGAACCTACACATCCAGAAATAGGCACCACTGAGTTCAATACAGCTTAGTTGAAGGGAATTGTGTATAGGACTGCATTCATGCTAATTCTATTAAATAGTGTAACGTGGGCATAGTTCTGGACTATTTGGGAACATGGCTGTTGGGGTTATCCTGATGAGCACCTGCACATCATATTTACCACTATGCCATTGCTTAGACCTATAGGGATGTAAAAGAAACACCTCCTCTTATAGGATGCAGTTGAAAACTAGCAAGACTTTAACAGGACTGATGCCCAGAATCACTCAGATCCTCATGTAGTTGAGCTAGAAAAACAATGGAAATCTATGTATCTCCCATCTTAACTATGTAGAAGTGGCTAAGACAGTTCATGTGGTGGTGACAGCTACAAGGGTTTTGGTTGTATATCAGTGCTGTCTGAATCTCAATGGGAATATGATGTAAGTGAGTCTGTATGAAAAAGACAGAGGTTAGAAAAACAGACTGGGGCATCTGATGGAAAGAAGGAGACTGATAAATGGTTCAAACTTTCACAGGAAAAACAGATATGTATTCAAAAGCAACAACAATTTTCTTGGATGGTTTTATAGGATGTTATTGACCTTTTTGGTCACCTTGACATAAAATGATTTGGGAGCAGACGCGTAGAACACCCACCAGGCTTGCTCTTTCTGCATTCATTTGTGGAAGCCAGGGAACTTCTATGGGGTTATGCTGCTTTTCCCAAATGCTGGTGCCTTAAGAGGTTATATGAAAAATAAAAGGGCTTCTTACTAAAACAGCCCACATTATATTGTTCATGGGCAGTCCCATAGTTTAATTTTAGTTGCTGAAACATGGTATGTATGAGTGTGTGCACGTGTGCATCCAGTTCAATAGCGTAGTCATTAAGTAGACAGCTACTTTGCTTCTTGGTTTTTGTTCACTAATAGATGTACAGGAAGTGTCAAGGAAAAGTCAGCTTCCTTTTGGAATGGAAGTTCAACATCCATATCTTCTCAAACCCACATTATTCCCCCTCTGTATTATTCAGTTTCCAGGCACATAGCCTGATGGAAAGGAGTTAGAATATTTTGGCTACCCTATATAGCTGGGATATTTGGGGAGCTCTTCTTGTATTAAAAAATAACAGCCAAGGCACAGCGGCAGCAGAATTTGCCTAAGGGAAAATCATGAAATAGCAGAGGTTGGGAGCCAAGCTGTTTATCAGTTCATCTCCTTAGCTCGCCAATTTAGCATCTGGAGAGCAGTGCCATCCAGACCAATTCCTTTTGCTCCTCAAGCACAAATACCACAAAACAAAATACAACGTCATGGAATGATTTATTATCTGCCATCAAAAATTGATCGAAGGGGAGAGTGCAACAGTGTCTACTTTTATCTTTTGCTACTGAAGTGGAAAATAATCATTCAGTAACCAAGGAAAGATTAGCTGCAAATTCTAACAATTGTAGGCAT